CTTTGAGACGGCAAACTCGAAACTATCTTCAAAATTTGCGGAGCGATTCTCTGAGCGTTATAGAGGTTTTTCCTTACTGTTTTTCTTCTTCCGGGCGCGCTGGCGCCGAAGCGCTAACACTTGTAGCGCGACTCACACCGCTTTTTGCGCAAATTGGTACCATGTTCATGTTTTCCCCACAATCCTATCGAGCCTCATCGCTGGGCGTGGGGTCGGGCTGTGAACGGTTTTGGACTGTTCCAAAAACGTACCAATGCGGAGGGTGCCACGTCAGAGCCTGGCGAGCTACGCGTGGTTAATTTTCTTCTCGCCGAAAACAGTAACAACTATGGGCCTCATCCCCTGAAGCTGAGGGAACCACCGACAGGGGCAACCGTCGTCCTGGGAACCGCTCGGACGAGGCTGCAAAAATCACAGGGCCCACGGAGATTTGAGTCGCCCAGGACTAGGATGACGATCTGTACTTTCAACGCACGGACGCTTGCATCGGAAGCTCACATCGAAGATCTGATGTTGCAAGCCAGGAAGATCAAGTACGACGTCATCGGACTGACCGAGACGAGGAGGCATCGCCCGCTACACGCCGTGTACGAGACTGGAGAAGAACTGTTCCTCGGAACATGGACAGCAGGAGGCCGTTCGGGCGGTATGTGTGGGCGTCCTCGTCAACACGCACTTGGCCATGAACATCGATTCGTACGAAAGTCTGACGACCAGAATCGGACGTATGCGATTGAGAAGATGTGCGTTTCAACCTCCAACCTCTTGACAATCTTCGTCGCCTACGCACCAACATCAAGCTACGACGAGGATGAACTCGAAGCATTCTATATGGAATTGGAGAAGTTCTACAAGGAAGATCATTACCATATTCTTCAATGTCGTCACGTCGGCCTATCTTCAACGCCTAAGATTTTCGGACAGAAAGAATCCGCCTTTGATTCTCTCTTCTTTTTTCATAGCTATGAGCAAAAGATAGAAAGTGTTCACTAAGGACTTCCTAAAAGCATAAACTGTCGTTCATGCTAGGCCCCACAAAGCAGAGGCCAAAGGTCTTGCCTAGATCTGAGCCGCTCATGGTCAGTATACAGTTAAAGGTGATATGCAACGTTGAAACTATTGAGGTATCCATTGACTTCTGGATCGGAAAAAAATTCTTCGATAAAAACGGGGACTGTATGTAACGTGAATACAGAATCTCGTAGCTTCCACTTATTTATTAAAAAAACTGTTAGATCGAGGTTATTCTTACTTGCGCCACCTGGCAAACGTATATGCAGAATCTACATAATGACTAACGTCTGGCCATTTACTGATATTAAAGACAATTCCCGCGATCAAGTGTTGCGGGTAGTTGGTGCTCCGTTATGAACCAGCATCCCATAAGTAGCTCCTCAGTAGAAAAAGAAGGGAAAAAACTCGGGAACACCCTAAAACAGACCTCCCCTCAGCAGTCTTGGACGAGTGTGTCGGGCGTGAAGGACGCGCGCTCCATAGCGATTGGAGCGCAAAGCTTGAGCCGTGGGACCGTGGCGTGAGCGCCAGGCAATTCCTGGCCAAGCGATGCGATATTCGTGTTTGGAGTTGAAGGTCTGCATGCAAAATTTTTAGCTTTCAAAAAGCTAGTAAAACTGGTCCGATGTCGGAAGAGGGGAGCAACTGAATAGCGCCCCCATCTGAAAGATCATTAGGTGAGTCTGAGAAACACACTAACTGCTCTTCATTTCACATCCTCCTCTTGCGAAGAGTATGGAAGACGAACTACCTGCTCTTCAGTTCACGTCCTTCCCATCGCTTGCAGAGTATGAAACTCAAGAAAGGCTTGCTGCTCTTTTGTTCACATCCTCCTAATTGGAATCGCGCTTGCAAAGACTATGGAACCTCTAAAACAGCCTGAGTCGTCTTCAATTTATGTCCACGGTGCGAGGTTTGCGCTTAATCGCTATGGAAAGCTCGGATCACTGAAGATGGCAAAGTGCCAGAAGCGCCGCGCGCGACACGTGCCGCGCGGGTGTTGTAGGGATAGAAGCTGCTCGCGAGCCGTTGTCTCGTCCAGCTACAGTATGATGTCGCCACTGTTGCCACGCGCAAATGTCTCTAACTTCTTTATCGCGCCGTTTTGAGGGACGAAAGTGGTATGTTCTTTGTGAACGCGTATAACAGTTGCACGGAGTCATTCTGAGACTACTTGACCGCGGGGAGTGTCTTAAAGATAGCGGAAGTCTTACTGTTTTATTCATTTACCAGTCGGATCGCCCGGCTGTCGCCGGGCGCTCCTCCTTCTGTGACATGGCCCGGCTTCGCCGGGCCATGCGGATTTGCCGCGTGCTAAGTTAAGGATCGTTGACCAACTACACTGTTCAAAAGGATATGTTCGGCATCAGCCAAGAGTTGAAAAGCAGCGCTTCTTCCGTCAAGAAGCAGTAGCAGTGCCCGCCGCATCACAGAAGAAGGAGAGCCGGCCATAGCCAGTGATCCGACTGGTACGTTCATAACCTAATACATAACCCATAACCGAATATTGAACCTGTTAGGTTAGCCGCTGAAGCAGCCTATGATTCAACATTCTGTCCTCCTAAAGCGTCTTGCTTTGGAATGCACTCCCGCATTCAGCAGTGGAACCCTTTAAATGGCCCTCACTAAGGTTGTTGATGGAAGATAATTGTGGTAAGAGTGATTAAGTCAATTGCTGCTGTTCATAACATCTCTGTAAACAAACCCATGCATTTGGAATAGAGCTGGCTTAGCGGTCGTAACATAATCGTTACTAATAAGTAATGGGTTGGATCATTGAATCGTCTAATACGTGAAGTCATATCATCGCGATTGTTGTTGTTGTGAGCGGTGAAGCGGATTTTCCCATGTTAACTTGTCACTTTTAGTTCCCGTCCCGTATCACTATCATATCACCCTATATCGCCTCTCGGATCGAGGTCCCACTGTTGCTGTAACCTGCGCTACGAATTTGATGACCCTCCCCTTCCGAGGCCCTTATCGGGTCTTATCAACTGTTATCACTTTCTGTCGCCCGCCAATAATGTTCCCGTCCCACACCCTATATCACCTCTCGGATCCAAGGACCCACTGTTCCTGTGAGCCGCACTATGAATTTGGTAGTCCTTCCCTTCTAATGCCCATTATCAGATCTTATCAGCTGATATCACATCCTGTCACCTACCAATAATGTTTTCGTCCCACCCCCTATTTCACTGCTCGGAACCAACGTCCCACTGCTGCTGTGGCCCGCACTATGGACTGGGTGACCATCCCCTTTGGACGCCTCTTATCGAATCTTATCAACTGATATCACATCCTGTCACCCACCAATGGTGTTCCCGTCACACCCCCTCCATCACTTCCTGGAATCAACGTTTCTCTGTTGCCCCACTGACGTACAGGTGTGTATGAATTTCGCACACACACACAACACACACAACACACACACAGCACACGCACACACACAGCACCCTACACACCACATACCTTGAATACCTTGCATGTCCGCTCTTCAATGTTGCGTTACCCAGGCCTTGCAGCGAGCACATACTAATGCTGCATCATCACGATTTCTTGCCATTTGTTGCCATCTCTGTCCATATAGTTTCTTAAAAGGATCACTCCACCTGGCTGGGGGTCTTCCCTGTGGCCTTTTTACACCACGAGGATACCAGTTGGTTACGCGATATGTCCATCGGTTGTCGTCAAGACGAGCTACGTGTCCAGCCCATCTCTTTTTCGAGTCATAAATGGTTTCGATAACATCCTTTACGCCCGTCCGTCTTCGGATTTCGCGAGCAGGGATCTTGTGCATTAGCGTTACTCGACACATTGCTCGCTCCATTGCCCTTTGCGTAGCAGCTAGTCTTCTCTCCTCCTCTTTGATTGTGCTCCATGTCTCACTTCCATATACCATTGCTGGTAGAACATGGGTGTTGAACACCTGAGATCTTATTGAGTTTCAATCCGTATATCGGTGAGAACATCTCGGTATTTGTTAAATGTGGCCCATCCCGCCTTTCGACGCCGGCTGATTTCTCTTGTAAGATCATTATCCATCGTTATTCTTGGCCAAGATACGTGAACGATGAGACTTCTTCAATGATTGATCCTTTCATGCATAAACGATAGTCGTTTGTATAGTTGTTTTTCATCCATTTGGTTTTTCCCGGATGTATTACAAGTCCGACGGATTGGGAGGCTTCGCTCAAAATATTGAGGGAGCTTTCGAGTGCACTCGGTTCGCTTCCAATCAAGACTATGTCGTCTGCAAACATCAAGTATTGAAGTCTTTCGCCATCTATCTCAATGCCACAAGGCAGCTCTATTTGCCGCATTACAAGTTCTAAAGCTGCAGAGAATAGTTTTGGAGAGATGACCTCGCCTTGCCGTACGCCACGTTGGATCTTTACACGAACTGGTTCTTTGAGCAATTTTATGTCAGTGTAGCAGCTCGTGTTACATTGTCGTATTATTTCAATATATCTTCTTGAAATCGACGTCGCGCAAGGCGTTTAGTACCGCTGGTTCGACCGTGTCAAATGCCTTTTTGAAGTCAACAAAAAGATAACATAGCGGGATTCGGTACTCTCGACATCTTTCCGTAAGTTGAGAAATCACGTGTATCTGATCGATGGTTGAAAAGCCTTCACGAAATCCGGCTTGTTCTCTTCTCGTATTTATATTGAGTGTTCCACTTATGCGGGTTGAGATCATACGTGAGAAGATTTTGAGTGTTGTGGACAGGAGCGCTATAGGACGATAGTTGGCCAGTGTATCACGCGGTCCTTTTTTGTGGATCAAAATGGTGTTCGAGCCCAGCCATTCCTTTGGTACAGTTCCCGACGCCAGCATTTCCGTGAAAATGTCTGCCAAAGGGCGGGCGATGAACTCCTTCAGACATTTCAGGTGTTCTGCCAGAATTCGATCTGGCCCAGGCGCTCTTCCTCCTTTCGTCTGTTGAATAGCCTTCAATACTTCCGTTTCAAGTACTTTCCACTCAATCTCTGCAAGGATGTGTGTCGTCATCCCGTCCTCACAAAATATCATGTTAGGTTGCACCAGCACTTTTATGGAGAAGAGGTCTTGGAAAAAGTTTCGAATTTCTCCTTCCATTCCCTTTTTATTCCTGACAACAGAGCCATCTTCTTTTGTGAGATATTCAGGAGTAATGGTTTTGAGTCGAGTGTTGATGAATGTTCTTTTGATGCTCGTACATTTTTCAGCCGCTTCTCTTGCCTTACGTTGCGCATATTCACGATATTCTTTCTTCACTCTATAGCGTATAGCCTTGTTTAATATAGTTCTAGCCACAGGAGTCATAGTTTTTCCCAATTCTTTCCGAGTGGCCAACATTTGCAGTGTAGTAGCACTTAATCGTTCCCGAGGTCTGCTTCGAACGCGCTCTGAAGCATTTTTAACTACATCCCGAATAGTAGAAATCAACTTTTCGTATCTGCTGTGAACATTTCCCTGTTCTGAAGAAAAGTTTGTCGTGGAAGCGAGCGCTTTTAGTCGTTCTTCAGAGAGCACATATTGAGCACGTTGCCGGCGCAAGTTGCGAATAGTATGCAGCTAATCGTCTCCTTTCTTCTCTGAGCTTTATTGCTACCGTGGCTCGAACTAAACGGTGGTCCGATCCAATATTAAAATGCGATCGTCCAGACACTGTAACATTTGTGAAAGAGGCGCAAGCAGTTGGTTAAGAAGAAGTCGATTTCGTGGAACATCTGCCTGTTCGGGGTATGGTATGTCCAGCGACGTCCTACACGCTTTTGGAAATATGAGTTTGCCACTGATAATCGACTTCGTTCGGTGAATTGTGCTAAAGCCTCTCCTCTGCTGTTTCTTCCAGGTATTCCGTATGGCCCTATATAGGATTCATCAGGTTCTCCGCATCCTAAGTGGGCATTGAAGTCTCCAGCGCATACCACATATGTTCCTTTTGGAGTAGTGGCAATGCCCAATTTCGACGGTGCGTCGTAGAACTACTTCTTACTGCTTCATCTGCGGATGTACTGTATGGGCAGAGGCCGACAGATTTTCATCGGTCTTCTTTTGCCTAGTCGAGCATTAGTAATTTCGCAATTCTTCAGACACTACTTCGCAATAGGCAATCCTTGCAGTGAGACGTGGCGATACAATGAATCCGACTCCTCCGACTTTTCCGTTTCTTGAGCCAGCTCCTAGGATCACTTCATGTCCAGTGTGCCAACTCCATCTTCCTGCATTGCATCTTAACGTTTCTTGGACACATGCTACGTCAATCGCACACCTGTCCATTTCAGATACTAGCTGATCGATCACATAGTCGTTAACGAGACCTCGAGCGTTTATTGTTCCAATGTTTAGGAAACTGTTTGGCAGATCGCTTCTCGTGAGATTTCTCCCCCTCTGCCTTTGCCTCTCTGCGCGAGAGGCGGTTCGGCGCACGCGGGAACTTTTTTGAGAGGTACTTCTTCTTGAACTTCACTCATAGATGTTGATGGCCTGGACTTACCCTCACCGCCTAGCCATAACTGGCGGTAGTACCGCTGCCGGGTGCGGTACCTGTCCAAGAGGGGCCCGTTTTTAGCCTCACTCAACGCGTCGCTGTTCCGGCAACAACAACGGGAAGTAACATTGAGTGAGTTTACACCATCCCACCACTTTGAGGTAACGGGGCTAGGGATGGACAAACACTACGGTAGGTGGGGGCGGGCATATATATAGTTGGATTTGCGTGGGTTGTAATCATAACGACCATAGCCCTAAGTGAGAGCATACATGAATTTTCATCGCGGCCCTGCCTTACCAAAGTTGTTCCCTCCACTCATCGTCTTATCGCTTCCAGTGGTGCTAGCTATGGTGTTCTTCTAATCCAGCAAAATCTAGGCTCCCTCATAGTACACCCCCCCCACTCATCCCACTTACCCTCACCCTCTCCCTGTACCGCTCTCCCCACACTGGCCCTCGCACGGCTCACGTCCAGCTAGCACGCGAGCAACTTGTGCAATGGCTCGAGTGGTCCTGATGCCGACTTATATAACCAGTCGGATCGCCCGGCTGACGCCGAGCTCTCCTCCTTCTCTCTGGCTCGGCTTCGCCGAGCTGGCCTGGCTTCGCCAGGCGCGCTCCATAATGGGGAACGGAACGGAACTCTTTCAATCACTGCGTTGCTCATACAGCTCTGTATTGGTACAATCATAACAGATAGAGCAACCCTGCGGATCCTGCGTTCCATAGTAAACGCTTATACTTGCGGTCCGCGCCATAACGGCCATACAACACACAGACAGGGTACAGCATCCTTGTGTGAAAAACACATGAGGGTACTGAGGAGGAGGGGGTCGTATTTGGGGTGGGGATTTTTTCTCCTAGAAAAGTGGGGGTTGTATTGATTTTTTTTGTTTTATATGCACTATATGCATTCTGTACGCCTGGGATATACGTTTCATAGTTATTGTGTGCCCCCCCCGCTCGTCGACATCGACATTATATAGAGTAGGATAGTGGGATGTGGGATGAGTTCATTTTCTAGTGTTATCAGGAAAGTGTTGGCCAAAGGAAAGTTTCACAATCTGAGCCTCGAATACTCGGCATTAAAGCGGTGAGAGGTTAGCGCAGATGGTATCGTATCAATTTTTATCGATTGATAAGATTACCTGTCACCCGTCATCAATGTCCTCATCACTAAATTCACTAAATCTCTATCATTTGAGAGCGTGAACCGCCTTGAACAGCGACGACGACTGCAACCTCCATTATCAGCCCCTATCAGTAGTTATCGCTTCTAATCACCCACGGTTGATGTTCCTAATCACGGTTGATGTTCCCAACTCACTCTCTATATCACTTGCTGAAACGCACGCCTCGCTGATACTGTGACCTGCGCTATGAATACGATGACCTCACTATTCTAACGTCCCTTATCGAATCTTATCAGCAGCTCACAGTTCTTATTACCTACCAATAATGTTCTTTGGCCCTCATCCTATATCAACTTCTCGCATGAATCAAGAACATGACTGCTGCGTACCTAGCTGTGGAATATGGTAACCTTTTCCTTCTAACGCCCCTTATCGAATCTTATCAGCAGCTTACAGTTTTTGTGACCCACTAATGATGTTCTTGGACTATCCTCTATATCATATCTTAAGATCGAGAGCAGGCTGATGCTGTCACTTGCGTTATGATTATAGTGACCTTCTCCTTCTACAGCCCCTTATCGAATCTTATCAATTGATATAAATTCCTGTCACCTACCAATAGTGTTCCCGTCACACCCCGTACATCACTTCTTAAAATCATTGTCTCACTGCTACTGGGACAGGCGCTATGAATTTCGTGACACACAGACAGACGCACACCAAACATACACACACACACACACACACACTTACAGACATACTTAGCGGATTATATAGAGTAGGATGAGGGTATCCACAATCAAAACAACATCGTATGGCCTTTTTTATTATGGATCAATTTGCAATTTTTCTAGCGGTTGTTTTCTTATCTGTTGTTGTTGCTGCGTGCTTCCACTCGAGCGTGCGCTACGCACCCCCTCACCGGACCCCTTCCCTTGCACATGCTCAGGTCCGGCTGAGCACGTGCAGGGATGAAGCCAGGAGCGGAGGGGACACTGCGGCGCTTCCCCCCCGTCGCTCACCCCAGCCCTGCCCGCACGAGCTCATCCAGCTGCACCCGAACAAGCTTGCTGCAATACGCTCGGAGCGTAACGAATGGTTTCTTATATTGGGTTGGCACAGAATACTGGTCGTTTTTTCAACCGGAAATTTCGTTCCAAAGATGAAATGTTTGTTAGCAAGCTTGATATCATCTGATAGGAAACTTCACGTAGTTTTAGAATATCAAAACGGCTTTGGTTGAGGGAATAATTTTTGTGGATTTTTTAGTCGTTGAAGTTGAAAGCGAAGTCGGCGAAAATTAGCACCTTCGACAACTGCTCATTTAAAACGTATAGTCGAAGTGCTAAAATCGCTTGAGCTGCTCCATACATTTGGAAAAGGTCGAGCTAGAAGTTCCAGCAAGGGAATCTCACTAGGACGCTTTGGAACGAATTTCAGAATTAAATTACCAACCTTCGACCTCGCCGATACGGGCAAGCCTCACGTCTGTTCCACCTGAATTTTATGCTAATATTTGAAAGTTTCGCTGATATGTTTTGCACGTTCTGATAGCAAATTTCGTGCTCTATAACACTGTTATAAAAAACTGTTCTCCAGAGGTGTTTGCTTTCTGTTAAGTTCAGGTTATCATTACGGAACGCGAAGTCGTTGAGAACTAGCGTTCCCGTTCTCCACGAATTTTATGCTAACATTTGAATGTTTCGCTAATGTGTTCTATATGTTCTGATAGCCAATTTCGTGCTCTATAACACTGCGTTGCAGTTATTTTGAAAATCCGTTTGATGCCTTGTTTTTCAGGTGGATAATATGGAATGTCAGGTCGATAAGCATCAGCACTTCAGACATCTCCTCCTTTTCGCATTCAACAGAGGTATCAGTACCATTCTTGAAGCGTCTGAACCAATTTTGGGCTGTTTTGAGAGAGAGGGCATCTTCTCCGTACACTTCGCGAATTTCCTGAGCAGCATTAGCAGCTCTGATATCTCTGCTGAATGCGAAAAGGAGGAGAAGTCTGAAGTGCTGATGCTTATCGACCTGACATTCCATATTATCCACCTGAAAAAACAAGCATCAAACGGATTTTCAAAATAACTGCAACGCAGTGTTATAGAGCACGAAATTGGCTATCAGAACATATAGAACACATTAGCGAAACATTCAAATGTTAGCATAAAATTCGTGGAGAACGGGAACCTAGTTCTCAACGACTTCGCGTTCCGTAATGATAACCTGAACTTAACAGAAAGCAAACACCTCTGGAGAACAGATTTTTATAACAGTATTATAGAGCACGAAATTTGCTATCAGAAAATGCAATGTGGACATATCATAGTCAAAATTCACATTAGCATTTAAATTTCAGGATGAATGAGCTGCCCAATATCGGCGAGGTGAAGGTTGGTAACTTCAAAATTCTTGAAATTCGTTCCAAAGCGTCCTAGTGAGATTCCCTTGCTGGAACTTCTAGCTCGACCTTTTCCAAATGGAGCAGCTTAAGCGATTTTAGCACTTCGACTATACGTAAATAGAGGCAGTTGTCGAAGGTGCTAATTTTCGCCGACTTCGCTTTCAACTTCAACGACTTTCTAAAAATCAAGATTGATATACATCGCACCGATCGAATCCGCGTTCTTCCGTACGTCGTTTTCTCCTTTCACTAACCTGTTTAATCCTGTGAAGCACTTTGCGGACGGACAGACATACAAACCGACATACATACATACCGACAAACCGACACACAAAGTTTCTGCTTTATAGAATGTAAACCTTGATTTATTCAGTACGCTGTTTAAGAACAACGCTCGATATATGAGAACAAAACTAAACATAAAAACAAAACAAAAAATAAACACTACAACAATGAAGAAACATAGCACCTACGCACTGAGAACTTGCTTAGCTATGGCACGTATGAAGGAAGTCATAGAGGCCATTAATGTGGGCTTACTGTTGATGTCATTTTTCCATCTAGAAGTTTGGAACAGTAGATTGTTTTGTTCGTTAACCTAGGGAATCTAAAAACATATCCACCAAAAGACGCATAACGTCTAGGCTTTGGCATGACGTTAGTGAGTGCCCCCTCTACTGATATCAGAGGGAACCCAATGCTGTCTGAATTCGAGATCTTCAGCGAAAGTTCTGGTCTGTTTCTAACATCACTGAGTGATACGAACGCAAATACAACAGTTTGCATTGCTTCCTGGACAATACGATGCATGAAGTGCAACATGTCATTTATGTAGAAGGCTTTTCGCTAGGTAGTATCGTTCGTAGATCATCAGCTCCTCAAAAAGCGACCGCTCTACCGTCGTACATAAACCTGCTACGCTCCAGCCTGAACGAGTTCATAACGGCCTCCCTTTCTATCACAGTTCTCAAAAAACTTATGCAAGATAATTGATGCTAAGGCTGCGTTTATACTTTGCGGCAGCGTAGCGTAGCGCTTCCAGCGTACGCCAGCGGCAGTGCCGGGGAGAGGATGGATATCGATCTAGCGTTCCCAGCGTCACCAGCGTAACGTAGTGTTTGCGCAGCGGCAGGGGAGTAGAGACTATGTGGCCGTAAGAGACGCGCATCGTTGTGTATTGTAGAGACTATGTGGCCGTCAGAGACGCGGAATCGATGTGTATTGTAGAGACTGAGGGCGAGTGAGAGACGCGCAATCGATGTGTTTTGTACCCTCCAGCTCTCCCATAGTCTCTACTCCCCTGCCGCTGCAAACGCTAGCAAAACGCTGGTGAAACGCTGGAGAAACGCTGGCGTAACGCTAGCGTTACGCTGGTGACGCTGGGAACGCTAGATCGATATGCATCCTCTCCCCGGCACTGCCGCTGGCGTACGCTGGAAGCGCTACGCTACGCTGCCGCAAAGTATAAACGCAGCCTAATCAAAACGTCTTGAACATCTCGTGAGCATCTGGTATACTGACGGTCCTTTGGACCTCTAATGCTGCGTGCATAATTTGCAGCAGCGTCCACCAGCGTCTACTAAACAGTTATGCAATGCGGTTGTCACGCCGCATTTTTACTATGCCCACCCAGCTGTTTGCTATCCCCTGATAGGGAAACGGGCAAGAGAATTGTAAATTGCCGCTTTGTAGCACACGGCAATGAGTAGGACGTCTCTCTGAGTTGCAGTGCCCTCTGTTAGAGCATCGAATTTCACGTAGACAAGGACATGGTAGACACTTATGTCTATTTTTGGTCACACATTGTCTATTCTCGAACAGTATCACCTGTATGTGCTCCCGTTGATCATCGAGTTCCTCGAGCGGGCGCCAGTAACGTCTCCATTCGTCCCTGCAACGTGCAAGGCCCAATGAACTCTCTCAGCTCGAGGGACACGATGAACTTCATACCATTCGTTCAGAGCTTTCACGAAGAAGTCTGACCATCGCATAGGCGGTCGTCCAGGCGTTCGCTTGACATCCCGTGGAATCCAGTCGGTGATTGCTCTGGTCCAGCGGTCGTCCTCGAAACGCATGACGTGTCCGGCCCACCTGATCTTCGAAACCTTGGCAAATGCGGCGGCGTCTCTGATCTTCGATCGTCGGCGGAGTGCGGAGCTCCGGATTCCCTCTCTTGCGTGTAGCGGGAAACTCCGAGCATCGCCCTTTCGATGGCGCGTTGAATAACGCCGACCGCATGCTCATCCTGCTTTCGTAGAGTCCAAGTCTCTGAGGCGTACGTCAAGGCAGGAAGGACCGCGGAATCGAAGAGGTGGGCACGGAGCTTGGTGTTCTTCGTCTTCTTCGCTACTCCCTCGATGTTCTTGAAGGCTCCCCAAGCCGCTCGCTTCCTCCTGCTCAGCTCTGGAGCTAAGTCATTCATCATATTGATTTCACGACCTAGGATTGTTCCATTCGGACGGGCGGTCATCTTGGTCTTACAGTTGGCGAAGTCGCGGCGGGCGTTGCGTATGCTCTTCCCAGCCTCTGCGGCTTCCACCAGTACTGCTGCTCTTCTCTCCTTGAGGTCTTCCTTTATCGCTTCTCTGCATAGCTTCGCAAGCTCAGACGTCAGCTGGTAATTGCCTGCGGCTCGTGCGGCTCCACGTTGGCGAATCAGCTCGAGAGTTTCCAGAGATAGACGCTTCTTGGTAATCTTGGAACTCTCTGAACGTTGTCATTTGCGGACGCGACTCGCTCGCGACGCCCACTATCGCATCGGACTACGATTTTCTTGCCACATACCCCTCCCCCACCTCTCCCACAATCTCTACTTCCGGTCGCTAATGGACGCTGGTAGCAGCTGCCAAACGCTAGCTTGGTACCTATGCTTCCTAGCCCTAGAGACGCTGGCAGACGCTAGATCGATATCTACACTTTCTAGTCGCTGACGCTGCCGGACGCGCGGAACGCTAGTGGACGCTACCGCAAAGCATGAACGCGCCTAATACTGATTCAATTTTACTCCTCAGCTCGAATCAGAGAGTTATACAAAAACCACACGCGCTTTGTCGCACCAGACCGAGGTACGAGTTTTAGAAGGAAGTTATAAGGGTTGCAATAAAAGCGATCGAAAAACGAGTATAATCTCAATACTTGCTGTACCTGATGTACCAGACAGCCCACAGCATAGGCACAGAATGTTTGCAAACCTTACCTCCCGAAATGGTGAACCTTCGTCATAAGTTCTGTAAAAATAAATATATATGAACATACATCATGCATGCATTCCTACAGACAAATCAATACTACCCTATAATCATAAATTGCAGGATTTCGCATCCAAGATTGACTATTCTATAGTGCGAAGCAGGAGTGATTTGTGCTTTTTGGAAACTAAGAGACATTTTTCACTGGCACTTACGGCTATGTATGCCTCGTTCTGTTTCGGAGGAAGTAAGGAGTGCCCTCGTTTTTTTTCCTCCTCAGCTCCAGTCCCAGTCCCACGCAGTTGCAAGACACGCGACTCTTTCCAAACATTAGCATGCCACTCGCCATGTAATCTCCTCATCATGTCGTGAGCAATTGCTGGAACTAAAAACTACGCGCTCTCTTACCCGCTGCTGTCAGGATCCGTTCATAGTTTGTTGGCCGACATTTGGGAAGAATCACCGCCGTTCAAAGCGAATGAAAGCATAGGGATAGATCGGCGCTCAGAACGCTGATTCTCCCACGGCGCTGATCCGCTTAAAACTGATTCCCTCAGAACGCTTCCTCCTCAAAGCATGAACGAAGCTTTGCAAGTATGTCTATGTGAGAAAGCTCTCATTTCACGTCTCACCATGGACATAACTGCAGCTTTCACTTTGCTCCTGGACTTTCAATCGAACGCGAATGTCTACGTCGTATTTCTTACGTTTGTTCAGTTGTGGGCTGACTTTGAATGTCTTATTTTATTAGTTCAAAACTATTCTTCATGATTCTTACCTACGGACCATTACCAGCTATCACGAAAGCCACCAAGACCATGACTACTAGTACATCAGAAATGGATATTGGTGACATTGGCATAAAATACCAATTGAATATTACGGAATCAGTTGAAAACTAGCTGGAAATCAGCAGCCGGAAATCAGAACGAGTCTGCACCTCTGAAAAAGAGATACGTCTACAGGGAAATCGGAAACATGCTAAGGAAGAGTTTCTCACTTCCGAAGACTTTGTTGTAGGAGGTCCTGGCAACGTGAAAAGTGCAGTTTCATCAGCATTGATAGTCAAGACAGCTGACTCAATACTGAAAAACTGCGTCTGCGTCACTCGCACTGTACCCACGCGCTTGCGCCACGCCACAGGCATATACAATGATTGGATGGTGAGGCCATATGAAGGAGGATGGTCGGCAGGAGAAAGAGTTATGGGCATATCCGACCTTGCTGACCACGAGTCAATTTTAGCGCGCCCTGCACTGCGAATTAAGCCTCTCAGTGCCTGTTCAGTGACCCGATATACTTTCCTACTGAACGTGTTTCTTACTTATTATTATTTACCAGTTTGGCTGACGCACACTACTGCGCGTCCGGCCGGGGTGCTGATTGCTGATAGGATTTCTGTGCTGACCACTAACACTTGGCTTGATTCCATGTCTCAAAGTACGGCCTACTGCACCATATTTCACCTTTTTAATGAACATTTGCCAATGTCTGATGCTTATCACGTTTCTAAAAACACCCACTGAATAATGTTACCACTGAACTTCTTTCAACCACTAAGATGCCCTATTTCCATCAAATGGTGTTGATGAAAATCAGGGCAACTCAGCGGTTGAAAGAAGTTCGGTGGTAACATTATCCAAGTCTTGGTGGAAGCTACTTATTTCCTAGCGTTTCCGTTGAGCAGCTTTCAGTCCGTCTGCTGGTGGCCCTTATCACTCCTCACTGACAAACATCTTTAAGCTTTTACTTTTGGAAGAATCTTTAGAGTTTAGCGGTTGAATCAATTTGGTCTATATAGCTCAAGGATAGAAAGTGCCTGGCTCACCAAGCCTTTGCTCATCGATTCCTGGACCACAGTGGTGAAGCTCAATCGCAAGCAGAGTAGGGACAGATACTAACTCTAAGCCCTTGTCAGGAGCAGTATCACAACATGTCTCTTGCCACCAAAGTCTCCCACCATGTTCGCTAAAAACGTCTGAATCACTTGCTGGAGGGTAGTTCCCAGTGTTGCTACGACTCGTGTTGTTAAGGGCTGTTGTGTCCTATCAGCTGTTATAACGTCCTGCCACCCACCGATAAGGTTCCCATCCTGCCCCTATCGTGGAAACGACACCTTACCGTCGCTGTGGCGCAATTTATAATGTTGTTGAGCTTTCCTTTTGTAAGGCCTATTATGGTATCTTATCAGCTGTTATCACTGCCTGCCACCCACCAATAATGTTCCCATCCTGCCCCCTGTCTTACTACTTGGATCCAACGCCCGGCCGTTACTCTGGCCGGTGTTATGAGTTTGGTAACCCACTCTTTTTAAGGCTCCTCATGGTATCTTATCAGCGGTTATCACTTCCTGCCACCCACCAATAATGTTCCCATCCTGCCCCCTATGTTGCTACTTGGATCCAACGTCCGGTCGTTACTCTGGCCGACGCTATGAATTTGGTGACCCTCCCCTTCTAAGACCCCCTGTGGTATCTTATCAGATCTTATCAGTTCCTGCCACCTACCAATAGTGTTCCTGCCCGACCCCCTACATCACTTATCAGTTTGAGCGCTCTGCCGCTCCTTTGAAGGAAGTTATGAATTTCCGGTCAAAACATACACATACACACACACACCAACAGACAAACTTAGCGGATTATAATAGTAGGATTGTTAACTAGACGATAGGAACTAGACGTATTTGACCTAGTTCGCATCTTGTCCGCTGTCCTGATAAGCAATGAAAGTGTTTGCAGAAACAGAAAGAGCGCATTTAAGGTGTGGAGACCAACTTTAGAAGAGAAGGTCATTGGTATACATGAAGAACTGAAGAATAAAATCAAGGAAAATAAATGGATGGAATCTGAGTTCAAAGAAGTGAAGTTTTAAGCCAACTTGTTTGAAGCGCTTATACAACATTGTACTCCTTAGTTATATCGCTGAAGTGTTCGGATTCCTCCCCAGAATCTGGAAATAAGAGTAATTGCTCCATATGTGGCACCCCGGGAAAGGGCAATGCCTTGCGAGCACTGTCCCCGATCCGGTGCGTATAATCTGCAGATTGGAGACACCACATGGTCAGGCCGGCTCATACGATCAAGTTGTTAGAAGTGGGGATTTTAATAGGGAAAAGAAAAATTTCGAATGAATATAATCATTTGCAGGAAGAACAACTGAATATAATCATTTGTAGGAAGAAAACAAAGGAGTTCAGCAGTCATGAACTATGATATTTACGTACATGGTATTCATTGGTCCTAGATTCACTTCTCGAAAAACGTTTACGGCATAAAAAGGCCGAAACGCGATCGAAATCCTAAAATGTCGTCGAAAAGTCGCAAACGGTTTCTAGGCGTTCATGGCGTATAGACTGATGAGCAATGAAAGGTTTCGAGTTACTTACTTAAAAGCTTAACTGCCACAAATAGGTGTGCAAGCTAGCAAAGTATAGATCTCGGGCGTGTAGGTAAGTTTATTGTCAGTCAAGTATTAGACGGCCTAATTCCAAGCATTTGATGAGATAGTGATCGCATATAATGGTCATCATATTGTTACACATACATTGCTGAACGAGTTATATGCACATGGATTGGCGTATAATCACCCCATATATATAATTAGCTTTGTCTGTTTGTTTGTTTGTTTGTTTGTTTGTAAGTTTGTAAGTTTGTAAGTTTGTCTGTCCGGAAATTCGGTTCGACCTGAAGAACGACTTGGAGAGGTCCAGTCAAGGTGGGGATAGGTAGGGCATGGGACAAGAAATAAAAAGCACACTTGACCTATGGGAAGCCCCGCCACAGTGGGCGGGGCTCTCACCGAAAGTTTGGGGTTCCGCAGAAAAATGTTCATAATTCGCTTCCGGAGCGAATGGGAAAAAAGATGGGAAAAAAAGCGACTAAGGTTAGTAAGGAGTACTGACTGTTGGCAGGTACACCCCTAATATGGGCGGCGGGCCGTACTCATGGTGGGCGGTGCTTCTCGCAAAATTCAGTAACCCGGTTCGCGAGAGTGTTTGGAAGTCGCAAAAACTCAGTGTAGAATGTAAATATCGGCGAATATAGGGCACGCTCAAAGTGTGTTGAGACCCGCCCACAGTGGGCGGAGCTTGCCCTAAATCGCAGGGTATTCATTTTAAAAGTTTGTAGCTCGGTTCCAGAACACTCCAGATACCGGGAAAAAGTGGATTAAGTTCAGCAGAGGGTCGTCGGTGAAAAATGGTGGTTGGCAACAAAATTGTGGTGCGCAGCCAGCTCCGAGGTGGGCGGAGCCAGGCCAAAAAGGGACTGTAAAACGGTACCAGAGCACTCCGAAGACCGGAATGAAGTGAATTTATGTCAGCAAGGGGTCGCCGATTGAGGAATATGAGGGTAGGACTATTTGTGGGTACAGAGGTGGGCGGAGCCAGATGAAAATTTCCCTAAAACTGTCCCAGAGCACTTCAAAAGACCGGAAAAAAAGTGGATCAAGGTCAGCAGAGGGTCGTCGGTGAGGATTGTGGGGCAAAAACATTGTGGGCGGAGCCTGCTCCGAGGTGGGCGGAGCCAGGACAAAAAGGGACTGTAAAACGGTACCAGAGCACTCCGAAGACCGGAATGAAGTGAATTTATGTCAGCAAGGGGTCGCCGATTGAGGAATATGAGGTAGACATATTGTGGGTGGGACCAGCCAGAGGTGGGCGGAGTCAGATGAAAATCTCCTAAAACTGTCCCAGAGCACTTCAAAGACCGGAAAAAAAGTGGATCAAGGTCAGCAGAGGGTCGTCGGTGAGGATTGTGGGGCAAAAACATTGTGGGCGGAGCCTGCTCCGAGGTGGGCGGAGCCAGGACAAAAAGGGACTGTAAAACGGTTCCAGAGCACTCCGAAGACCGGAATAAAGTGAATTCAGGTCAGCAAGGGGTCGCCGATTGAGAAATGTGGGGTAGACATATTGTGGGCGGGGCCAGCCCGAGGTGGGCGGAGCCAGACGAAAATTCTCTAAAACTGTCCCAGAGCACTTCAAAGACCGGAAAAAAAGTGGATCAAGGTCAGCAGAGGGTCGTCGGTGAGGATTGTGGGGCAAAAACATTGTGGGCGGAGCCTGCTC